TGAATTATTCTAATTTCAATTATAGGTACCAATTCACCTTCTAATTAGCCGCGAGTCTCACCTCATTTGACCCGCAACGCAACGGATCGATCGATTTGAAAAAATTAAGTTGCGGGTGCAGATACAAGTCAAGTGTATTTTATGCGGGAGGGATGTGAATTATTCGAATTTCAATTATAGGTACCCGGTAATCCGCAAAAATAGAATTTTCTTTTAAGTTTATTTTTCAGAAAATACTAAATTTCCTTAAAAATAATAATTATTTTTAAAAAGTATTAAAAATTTAATTAAAAACCTACTATTTAATATTATATTTTAGAAAAAAATAAAAATAATTATCCTTATTATTTAATAATTATCCGCGGATCCCGTGGATTACCCGCAAAATTAAGTGGAACAAATGCAAATAAAATATATTTTCTTTTTGGGTCAGACGGGTTAAGTGGACCGATTTTGACCCGCTTCCCAAAGCACCAGGCGTAGTTAGTTGATATTATTTTCTCAAAATAAAAATATATAATTACATACAATATATTTCATTTAAGCGCGGCTCAAAAATCTAGTTTAAAGTTACAACTTTCTAGCTTCTGGGCTAGTTTGAACCTTTTACGGCTTTATGGCCCTAATGGTAACTTGGGCTTGAATGAATGAACCTAGTTTGTACCTTTTACGACTTTATGGCCCTAATGGTAACTTGGGCTTGAATGAATGAACCTAGTTTGAACCTTTTATGGCTTTATGGCCCTAATGGTAACTTGTAAACAAAACAAAGCTCAAGTAAACCCTGATTATGTTCAGTTCTTGCTTGTTGTGTTCGGTTTTAAATGGTGGAAGATCCCAAATTATTTGTAAATTTTAAACGCAAATAGGGAAAAAAAAAGCTTTTTATTTGGTAAACTCAATTACATTTTTGACTAACTTTCTAAAATTGCTGAAAATCACATGAATATTACAAGCCGTGTGTATAAATAAGATTTTGCATTTTTGTTTTGGTACTTTGAAGAAGGTCTCAATAGTGTTTCAAGAGAAAAAAAAAAGTATCAATAATACCAAAAAGAAAAGGGGAAAATCGCATAAAAAACCTTCAAGGTGGCAACCACTTACACTTTAAACCCTGAGAGTATTTTACGAGCACTTTAAACACTCAAGTTGGCAAATTTAGCATATTAAACCTCCAATCTGGCTTACTTTTACATCAAGTTAAAAATGTGACTGGTACTGTTCAAAAGCGATGACGTGTCGGTTTTTTTTCTTTTAAAATTTTTTTTACGAATAAATAAATATAAAAATACAGAAAATATAAAAATTCATTAAAAATCATTAAAAATTCTTTAAAAATTGAAAAAATCAGAAAAATTCAAAAAAATCAGAAAATCATAAACATTAAAAAATCGCAAAATAAATAAAATATTTTATTAATAAAATATTAAAAATAAGAAAAACTTAAAAGAAATTATAAAAAATCCCAAAATAAGAAAATTCAAAAAAATTTAAATAAAACAAAAATAAAATTTAAATAAAATTAATATAAGAATAATAGATAAAATAAATATAATTTCAAGAATAAATAATTTTATTTGTTTTATAAAAAATGAGAAAACACTATATTTTTTTTTTAAAAAAGAAATTATCTTCAAATGATTCTCGTGAACCAAATCAAAGCAAACAAATTAAATTCCAAGGATTTTTATGCGATTTTCCCAATAATCTAATTATCTTCAAATGATTCTCGTGAACCAAATCAAAGCAACAAATTAAATTCCAAGTCTTTTAGCACCTAGACTTTCACCTGCATAAGTTTTTTTTTTAAAATTATATTGTTATTTGTTTTTCGTGTCACTATTATATATTATATATATGTCATCGTATAATTGAATGTATATGATATATACCATCAAATGATTCTTGTGAACCAAATCAAAGGAAACAAGTTAAAATCCAAATCTTTTAGCAGTTATTAAAATACCCTATGTTAATCTAGTTATAAAATCCAGAAAACCTTGACTAATAAGCAACAAAATGAGAACAAAATGACTTGGAATTTAATTTGTTTGCTTTGATTTGGTTCACGAGAATCATTTGAAGATAATGATTCTTTTTTTTAAAAAAATATAGTGTTTCTCGTTTTTTTATAAAACAAATAAAATTATTTATTCTTGAAATTATATTTATTTTAATTATTCTTATATTAATTTTATTTAAATTTCATTTTTTTATTTAAATTTTTTTGAGTTTTCTTATTTTGGGATTTTTTTATAATTTCTTTTAAGTTTTTCTTATTTTTAATATTTTATTAATAAAATATTTTACTTATTTTGCGATTTTTTAATCTTTATGATTTTCTGATTTTTTTGAATTTTCTGATTTTTTCAATTTTTAATGAATTTTTAATGATTTTTAATGAATTTTTATATTTTCTGTATTTTTATATTTATTATTTCTAAAAAAAATTTAAAAAAAAAAAAAACAACACGTCATCGTTTCTGAACAGTACCGGTCACATTTTTAAATTGATGTACAAGTAAGCCAGATTGGAGGTTTAATATGCTAAATTTGCCAACTTGAGTGTTTAAAGTACTTATAAAATACTCTTAAGGTTTAAAGTGTAAGTGATTGCCACCTTAAAAGTTTTTTATGCAATTTTCCCAAAAGAAAAGGAGAAGATGGTGGAAATTGAGAGGTAAGGCAGACGCGAAAGCTTCAAGGTGGTTGTTGACTTTGTCGACACCGACGACCAAATAACACAAAGAACACGCTCGCTCACCTTTGATGGTGAAAAAAAGATACTCGCTTTACTTTACATCTTGTTGACCTCTAATCTATAACAACTTACAACTTCTTTATTATATTCCATCCATCAGCGTCACTAATAATAGTAGTACTACATTCATAATCTTTATATTTAATATAAGTCGTCTATTTTGATTTTTCTTTTTTCCTTAGCAGATTCACCCACCGGATAAAAAAACTTCAGCTTTCATTAGTACCAAGTGATAATTACTGAGTGTACAAAGAAAATATATACAGGTTTCGTACCTTTACTGGCTTTGTGTAAAACATTGATCAAGTTATTATCATTCTACTAAATGACAAAAAAAAATTATTATTGTCTACTATATAAAAATAACCGAAAATTTATTGATAATTTTGTGAAAAGTATTAGATAATATAAAATTATTTTTTGTTCTAAAAATAGCACACAAAACTAAACTGACATAAATTAAAAAATATATTTCTTTTTTAAAGTTTGATTTTAGTGATCAGAGACTAGAGTTATGGTTTAGGATGTAAAGTAATTATTGTTTCAATTAATTATTTAATGTTATTTTTAGGGATTTAGGTCTCTGATTTGGTAGTAAAAACTAGGCATGGGCGTTCGGGTACCCGTTGGCGTTCGGATCGAGTTTTTCGGATTTTCGGGTTTTCGGGTTTACGCTCATAGGTCTCATTCTAATATTTTACTAATACGGGTCGGGTTCCGATAATAACACTTCGGATTCGGTTCAAATTTGTATTACATCATAAAACCACTAAAGTAACCATATATCATTCGGATTCGGGTTATTTCGGTTTGGTTTGGATATACCCGAAGTATAAAACAAAATTTCGAAAAAAAAACATAAAAAAAAACAATGAAACTGAATATAAATTAATCATACGTACATACATAAAACTGAGAAAAAATGCTAAATCAGTCATTAAAACATACATCACTTATAAACAATGTGCATTACCTTACATATAAACGAAATTTATTATTTTAATGAACAAATTACAAAGTACTTATTTATAACTAATTATATATTTAAGGTATTTATTTATATTTTAATATTTATTGTATGTATCATATCAAAATAAACATTAAACTTTATCTAAAATATTTATATATATACTTAAAATATTTATATTAACTATTAATTTCGGATATTTTGGGTTACCCGTTCGGGTTCGGTTAAATAACACTTCGGATTCGGATTTTTTTATACCATCCTATAAGACCCATTCAGGTATTTTTACATTTCGGGTCAGATAATGGGTCGGGTTTTTCGGTTCGGGTTCGGTTCGGATTTCGGGATTCGGATTTTATGCTAAAAACGTTAAAAGGTTATGTATTCCCAAAATTTTATAGGATAAGTTGACTTTATATTTAAAAACTTATCAAAAAAGAATTACATAAAGAAATTGTGGAACAAAATGAAACGGGGTAATTAATGAGTAGATTAAGACAGTGGACCCTCCAAAGACACGATAAAGTAAAATAATAAGAAGTTTGGAGGCAAAGGAGGACTAGTAGTACTACCACTTCTTCAAGTAGCTGCTATCGTGCGCATCTGCCTCCACACCTTATAAGAAATTTCCGCCGGGAAGAAAAGTCTGCCCTCTCTCTTCTTAATCCTCTAAGCTTCCACCAACCATACGTACTACAACATACACAAAATCCTCCGTACCTTCTTCTTCTTCTTCTCTGGAAGATTCAACCACACTTGTCTTTTCTCTCTCTCTTTTGTTTTCGAAAAAAGGTAAAACCTTTCTTCTTTCTGAGCAATCTTCCATGACTTTCCCTTATAAGGGTCTTTCCTTTTTTATGTTCTTACTTCGATTTCTTATAGGTAGGGTTCGATTTTGAATTATGAAAGTTTGAATTTTTTGGGGTTTTGAATCCATTTTAGGGGTTACGATTTGTTGACCTAAATGTGTCGTCTGGTGTTTGATCGTGTTTTTTATTTTAGTTAGTTCTGTCTATGTTGCTGCTGCTTAAACCCTAATATAATTAGAAATTTTTTGTTGCAGGTTCTGTCTGAAAATTTCTATATTCGTATTGTCTATTTCCCTTTGTGAAAAAAAAAAACATTAGTTTACTTGCATGTTTCATATGTAAAGACCAAAACAAAACAAAAATGCATATTTTTTTTTGTTTATTCTTGTTCTATAACACCATTACTGACCTATTTGTTCACGTTTTCTGCGTTATACAGTTTGTGCTGTTAGAGAAAAGCGTAATGAGCTGCTTTGGTTGTTGTGGCGGTGACGATTTTCGCAGAGTTGCTGAAACTGGTCCAAAGCCAGTGTACGGCGCAGCAGGTACACTTTACCTTATATAATAATCCTTTATCCAACTCTTTTGGCTAGCGGCTAAGTTGATTAACTTTTTTTCAACCTTTGCTAAGGTCACGGTGGAGGTCACCATCATAAGCCAGACCCACCCAAGAACTCGCCAGTCATTCAGATGCAGCCTATCTCTGTGCCAGCTATTCCAGCTGATGAGTTGAAGGATATAACTGATAACTACGGTTCCAAGTCCTTGATTGGTGAGGGCTCTTATGGAAGAGTGTTTTATGGTGTTCTTAGAAGCGGTAAGGCAGCTGCGATAAAGAAGCTTGATTCCAGTAAACAACCTGATCAAGAGTTTCTCGCTCAGGTACTAAGTCAAATCATCTCATTTATGTTGTCTCTAATGGTTCAGTGCAAGGTCACTATGTTAAGTTGAGTTGCTGCTTTGTTACTGAGATAAATAGTGTTAACTAGGTATCAATGGTTTCGAGATTGAGACAAGACAATGTTGTTGCTCTTCTGGGGTATTGCGTTGATGGACCACTCCGTGTTCTTGCTTATGAATTTGCTCCTAATGGATCTCTTCATGATATTCTTCACGGTAAGTTATCAATGTAAAACATTGATTCAGTAAGACTTTAGGAAGAAAAAGTAATGAAATGTGGTGACTTTGTTGTGTGCAGGTCGAAAAGGAGTGAAAGGAGCACAGCCAGGTCCTGTTCTGTCGTGGAACCAGAGAGTTAAAATTGCTGTTGGTGCGGCTAGGGGACTTGAGTACTTGCATGAGAAGGCAAACCCTCATGTTGTCCACCGAGACATCAAATCCAGCAATGTGCTTCTGTTTGACGATGATGTTGCAAAGATTGCTGATTTCGATCTGTCAAACCAAGCCCCTGACATGGCTGCTCGTCTTCACTCAACTCGTGTGTTGGGTACCTTTGGTTACCACGCTCCAGAGTAAGCCCTTACTTTGTTCAGACTAATCAATGTGGTTACGTTCAACACGTGCTTAGAGACTTTTGTTATCATTATCTTATGTTTTGAGGCACTAAGTCATTTCTTGGATTAAGCTTTGACATCATTTTTTATACCTTAACGTTGACCAAAGTATACTCTTAAACATACATTTTTTGGTTTTGCATTTCAGGTATGCAATGACAGGAACTTTGAGCACAAAGAGTGATGTCTATAGTTTTGGCGTTGTTTTGCTAGAGCTCCTCACAGGTCGTAAACCAGTTGATCATACCTTACCACGAGGACAACAGAGTCTCGTTACATGGGTAATGCTTAGTGCACCTCTGCTTCTTTTTTTCTTTTTGACTCGTATTGATAAGAAAATGTCTTAGGAATACAAACTCTTAGATTGTGAGAGATTAGATACTCAAAACTTTCTCTAGAAACAAAAACTTTATTAAATGAAACGCGTTTGTGTGGTCTCAGGCAACTCCTAAACTAAGTGAAGACAAGGTGAAGCAGTGCGTTGATGCAAGACTAGACGGAGAATATCCTCCCAAAGCTGTTGCCAAGGTAACCTTTGTCATAATGTCATTGTTTAAGTAGAGAAGGTTTACCTTAGGACATGACTTAGAAACTGCTTCCCCATCACTTCCATCGCTTTGGTTCCCTATTGTAGGGCTAGGGTGAAATGCAAGATCTCTTCTGATGACCATTAAGTATTGCTGTATGATTTTACCGTGTTTGACTTTATTTTTTGTCTCTTATGTGACTCTGGTATGATCAGCTGGCTGCTGTGGCTGCGCTATGTGTGCAATATGAAGCAGACTTCAGGCCAAACATGAGCATAGTGGTGAAGGCTCTTCAGCCTCTCCTCAATCCTCCTCGCTCTGCTCCTCACACTCCACATAGGAACAATCCTTATTGATATCTTCCAAACTGATACCACGCTTCATCATCATCACTATTTCATTTGTTTTTGTTTGAATACAATTTGTGTAAATTCGTGAAAATAGGCTTTTTATTTCTCTCATTAAAAAAAACCCTGAAAGTCTCACTTGGAAACCTGAATGTTGCTCTATTTCTTTTTATGTTATTTAATGCCTGCGGTGTAAGTCACTCTACTAATTATACAATATGCGAGGAATTAATATCTGTTATATGTATACTAATACAATGTGTTTGTGCCATTTTGTAAAACTGAGAAGATGGATTATTGCTGCATAGGTGGTGAAGTGAACACTCTCACCATCTGTTTAACTAAATATCTTGTGTTGCTGTCACTTCCCAATCCTCTGACAAGCTTAATAGCATTAGGTGTAAAGTCCATGTGCATGCCGTTTTCAATGTCACTACTCTCGAGTTTGATGTGTCTGTATTATGTTGAAAGCTGTTGTATAAAGGTAATAAAAAAGGTACAACAAAGCTATACAAAAGATCTCTCCTCTACACAAGAGAAGCATATCTTGTTCTTCTCGCTATACATAAATCACATAATTAATCCATAGAAACAGTAAAGAACCTAAACAATCTCCAAAGAAGCTAAATGTTTCTTAATCTGTTACTCATATCTTTACATCTGTTATGGTATCATCTTTATTCGTCTCTTTGCTTTCTTTAGGCACCTCTGCGTTCTGACCTCTCCTTTTTCTTCGTTCCTGATAAAAACATTCACCAAACCAACTATCAACACACTAGTTTTGATTTGTTTTTTGAAATTTGAAATGGTCTCATTGTACATACCTCTCTAGGCATCACAGGGTATTCATCAGATTCAAGCATTCGAGCAACTTGACTCATCTTTGGCCTCTTGTCTGCATCAGGATCAACACATCTCAAAGCTGTCAAAAGCGCTATTTTAAGTTCACTTGTCGTTGGTTTGATCTCAAGCTCTTTATCCACCACTTGTTCAAACTGTTTCTGCTGAACCATTAGCTTCAACCACTCCACCATATGCACCTACTCAAATAAATCAACTTCAGTCTCTAAATCATCATTGTGTCAAAGCGTATGGAATCTCTTGCTTTACCTCTTCTTTAGGCCGTTCATAATCCACTGGATACCTTCCAGTAACAGCTTCCAATAGAACAACACCAAAACTATACACGTCACTCTTCTCGTTTAGGAGACCAGAGTTAGCATATTCAGGTGCAACATACCTAAACATGAACCGAGAAAAATGTTTAAAACAGCCAATGAAATTATTATCAAAGGAAGTTAAAAGATAACTCACCCAAATGTACCCATAACTCGAGTACTCACATAACTTTTATCAGCTCCAAGCAACTTAGCAAGACCAAAATCAGATAACTTAGCATCAAAGGTGTCATTCATCAGTATATTACTTGACTTTATGTCTCTATGCACCACTTTCGGCTCAATAGCTTCATGAAGGTAAGCCAGCCTGTGTAAAAATGAACCATGAGTTTACAAGAAACAAGAACCACCAAGTGATTCTATTAAAAGAAAGGAAGCTTACGCTTTTGCAGTGCCAACAAGAACTTTGATTCTAGCCTCCCAAGTGAGATGCCCTTTGTGATTCATGTCACCGTGAAGCCACTGCTCTAAGTTCCCATTGTTCATGTACTCATAAACAAGCATCCTATGTGTTCCTTCAACGCAATAACCAAGAAGCCGAACTAAGTTCTTGTGCCTGACATGTCCTATTGCTTCCACTTCAACTCTGAAGTCTTTATCAGCTTGTCCTCTAAAATAAAAATACAATCATATCATCTCAAAGATCATGAGAATTTGAACAGATAAAAGAAACTTACGGATTGTTGAGCAACTTCTTGACAGCCACAGGGGTCTTGTTAGCTAAAGTTCCATGGTACACAACTCCATAGCCACCATCACCGATGATATTCTCTTTTGAGAAATGGTTAGTAGCGAGCTGAAGGTCACGGAGAGTGAACCAATGACCCCAACCAATTTGAGAACCTTCTTGAAGACCAGAGAGAGGTGAAGGAGTTGGTTCTATAGGAGACACAACAGCTGTTGTTTTCTCATAGTTATCACCATTCTCAATGTCTCTCTCGCTGAACTTGCCATCTAGTGTTTGATGAGTTGTTCCATTGTTGTTGTTAGATGAAACATGATCAACACTTATGTCTTTGATTTCATCTTGATGGCGAGGGGTTTCGGTTAAGGGGAGAAGTTGTGTGAAGTTGGATCTTTTGGATTTTTTACGGAAGCTGAGCCATACTGAGATGAAGAGGATTAGTATGAAGGCTGCAAAGAGAGCAATGACTATGATCTCCCATAGTTCAAGTGCACCGTATCTCTTTGTTAGAGTTTGTTTCAGCTCAGAGGCCATTATAGTTCACAGATACTTGTATATGAGTGTGTGTATGTGTGTATATATGTACCTGCATAATTTGAAATGGATCATTAATGTAATCAAGAACTAGAACCTAACAGATGAATTTTCAAATCTTTCTTGTAATGATATTGAGTTATAAAAATAAAAATAAAAAGTTGTGATGGCAATGAAGAAGATCAACAAGAGGGTTGAGCTAAATCATAATCTAATAACATCAACTTTGTCTCAAAACTGAAAAGGACCTAAACGCAAGAGAACAAAGCAGAGGAGAAAAACAGAGTACAATAAAGCAAGAACTAGAACCTAGCAGAACATCAAGATACTAGAGGTAAAGGTGAAAATTAAATCTCGGATCTTTCTGTAATAGTAATGAAGAAGATCAACGAGGTGTTAAGCTAAATCATAGTCTAATAACATCAACTTTGTCACAAAAAGAACCTAAACGCAAGAGACTCAAACAGAGGAGAAAAACAGAGTATATAAGAAACTAAAAGTCTAAAACTTTATCCTGAGAAATTAAGACAATACAAATCTGATACTCATGGACTCGAGACAAACAGATAATTGAGCTGTTAAAAGGTGCAAGTTTCATAATCATGTAAAACTTGTAATAAGAAACCGAAGTAAGTAAGAAACCATTCTGCCTCCAGGATCAAGATCCTGTGAGCTATACATAGCATTAAAAAAGTCGAAGTTGCATAAAGTAAGAAACTTTTTAAGCTTCCAAAGAAACCCATATACAAAGATCAAACCTTTGAAGCTCCAAAGAGACAAAACAAACAGTAAAATCACAGTTCTGAATAGCCCAATACCTCTGTTCTCCAGCAAATGTTCTGTCTTTCTACTTTTTTTTCCTCTGTATTTTCAGTTGAGAGACGGAGACTATTGGGCTCGAGTTAATAAAGAGAGGACATAAACGAAGAGAGAACACGAATTATTGTCTTCTTGTTAAGAGATCTTTAGAGAGATCTTTGTAGGGTTTACATTGGTTGTGGGGGAGAAGAAAGGAGGGAAACAGAGAAGGAAGTTTGAAGCTTTCTTTGATGTTTCTTCTTCTGGAATATTTTTATGCTTGTTGGGCTGTCTTTGCTTTTTTCGGTTTGATTAGTTTTTCTTTCTAAATTACATTTAATGTTTTTTTTTCTTTTTACATCTTTCGGCAATTTAATTTCTGTTTTCTCTATTAGCAAAAGTTTCTTTGTGAAAACTCTCGTAGATGGGACTTTTTCTCTATTAGCAATTTTTTTGTAAGTTATTAAATGTTTAGTCATTAGTCTTTACTAAAGAGGACTAAACATAATTTTATTATTTATCAAACTAATAAGTAGAACTTCATTGAATTTAAATATTTATACAATTTTATAAATATTGAAATTTCACTACATAAACTCTTTAAAGTTTCCTTAAAACAAAAAGGAAAACCGTTTAAACTACTTAATTATGTGACGTAATGTTATTCTCAGATTTCTTATCTTGATTTTACATTTAGTTTATTTATTTTCACAAAGGTATATGCACTTTGTTTAAAGTTTGGATATGAACATTGTACACTTTAGTTGTTGAGAAAACAAAAACAGAAAACAGAAAACACAAGAACAAAAAAATGAGGAGATGATGATAGGAAGCTGATGAAGCTATAGGCCGTGATTGGAGACGACAACCTTCAAAAAAAAAATGTATAGTCGTTTATTTTAATTAAGCAAGTATTGTAAAATGTGTTGCTGATCAAATTAGTATTTGGTCAACATTATTAAATTAGATGTCGCACCTAACACTTTAAGGTAATACTATTGTCACCACCTTCCCGTTTATTATTCTCCACTATACTCCCTCCGTTTCAAATTATATGTCATTCTAGAGTAAAATTTTCGTTTCAAAATAAGTGTCGTTTTATAATTTCAATGCAAAATTTATTGATTTTAAATGTTATTCTATTTTTTCATTGGTTGAAAAGTGGTTAAGTGTATAGGTAATTGTGTTTTTATTTTGAAAATATGTAAAATTAATTATTTGCTTAATCTGTGTGTAAAACTCTAGAATGACAATTAAATTGAAACGGAGGGAGTACAATATATTATATTAAGGAAGTACGTTATTATTATTATTTTTGACGAAATAAGGAAGTACATTATTTTTCTTTGAAGGATTAAACTAAAAGAAACGAGCGGCTGCTAAATCAGAATCGTGGATTTTCTTTATTTGAATTATTGGAAAAAAATAAGAAGAAGACGACATAAATCATTTGAAAACTAGTAAAAGATTAGAAGGTGCGTTCGTGGGTACATGTTCTTTTGTTATTTTGTGCAGAATTGATTAAATAGTCACGCAAAAACCATAACAGAAAGAATTGACATGCAAATGCAATAACATAACTTTTTGACGACGTCTAACAAACAAATGTTTTAGGGATGGAAAAGTTGTTTCGTGTAATGGTGAAGTCATTATTTAATCATATACCTATTGGAAGACGCACACATAAAATCATATTCGAGTTTACTAAAATTCATTTGAAATGACATGTGTATGTAACTTCATGAATCATGTGTACGTATTACTTTCGCTTTATGGTGGGTTCAAACTTAAAAGTCGTTCACAAAAGAAAAACAGTTACCTTATACATTCAACAAATATAATATGAAATCTTCTTCTAGAATGTCAACTACAAAATGTCTTTTGACAAATAATGCGATCAATTCGTGTTATAAAAGCCGGTGCTAGCTATTATCAGATTTCAGTGACATCAGAACATAATATGATATGAAATAAGTTTTATATTTACAGTACTATTACACTTTGATAATATCAAATTTGTAATGCTTTGTTTTTTACTTTTAGGAGTCACATTAGAATAAGCTGTAACACGCTGTGATGAGACCACTAATCTATACTATTAAAAGAGAAGGAGTCCTAAAAAATCTACTTATATAAGTTGTTGGACCTATTCACTAGAAACTTAATATGCTTTATTTTATACTTACCTTAATTAATCCAATTATTAATATTATTAAAAGGGAATAACCCCCACTTATTTCGGTTAATATTTATTTCAAACTAAGATTCATTCATCGCATTATAA